TATGATCTCAATGTAAAAACACTTTACATTGAGTTAGGTATGTTATTTGAGAATTTATAACAATTTAAATATGCTATGTCCGTATTATTTATTAAGATAAATAGGGGTATTATTTGGGTAAAGAACCATAAGAATTTTGTTAAAGGTAAGTGTGATGCAAAATAATGTCCTTGGGTGATTTATGCAGTATATGATAGAAAGTTACAATCATTTCAAGTGAAAGACTTACAATAACAATTATGAATGTAATAAGATTTTAAAAAATTTAAGGATGAGTTAAGCTATTTTGGCTGAGTTGTACACAAATATATTTATAAATGATCTTTTTATTAAAAATGCAGAAGTGTAAGAGTTAGTTAAAAAAGAGTTTGATAGAGAGGTAAATATTAGCATGATAAGAATGGCTAAAAAAGATATGGCTGATAAAGTTATTATCAATTATAAAGATGAGTTTAGACCTTTATGGGATTAAGCTGATGTGATCAGATAAACTAATAAAGGCAGCACAGTGAAAATGTAAGTTCATTGGTCATTGCCAAGTTCTCCACCTGTATTTGCAAGGAATTACATATGTTTTGGAGCACTTAAAAAGGTTTAGAAGTAGTTGTAGGCTTTTTTTGGGCCTAGATAGTTGTTGGTTTAAAAAATTGACAAAAAGTGAGTTGCTATGTGCTGTTGGTAGAGATCAAAATAATCAAATGTTTCTAGTGGCTTGGGCATTGGTGAAAGTGGAATGCAAAGCTTCATAAAAATAGTTTTTTGATTTGATGAAATCAGACTTTGTGTCTTTTGAAAATGGTATAGGATGGACAATTATAACAGATCAACAAAAACTAAATATTTATATATTGATTTAAATTAAATTATGTACTAAATATTTTAACTCCTTATTAATTATTTTTAGATGTACTGAATTGTTAAAATCAAATTAAATTATGTATTGAATACTTTAATAAATTAAATAGTGTAGGGACTTGATAAAGCAATTACAAAATTGCTTTCAGATGCTGAATATAGATTATGTGCTAGGGATGTATATGCTAATTAGCCTAAGAGGGGACATAGGGGGTGAGGAGATAAAAATGGCTTTTTGGATAATTGCTAAGTCTTTAACAATCAGATAATTTAAAAAAAATAAGAAAAATATAAGAAAAAAATGATACTACAGCTATAGACATAATAAAAGCCTACTTCAACAATGGTGTAAAGCCTTTTCCAACATAAACTCTAGATGTGAGTTGGTTAACAATAACTTATGTGAAGCATTCAATGAGACATTGTTAGATGCAAGAAAAAAAATCAATGATTTTTATATTTGAAGACATAAGAAGGTCTCTGATGATAAGAATTGAGAAGAAAATAAAAGAATGCTTTAAGTGGAGAGGTGTAATTGGTCCTAACATTGTAAAAATGATAAAAAAAATACAGTTATAGCATCACAATGTATAGTTACATTTAATGAAAATACTGGATATGAAATAGATGTAGGTGTAGATAGATTTATTGTCTAGCTTGATGAGAAAACATGTGGTTATAAAATGTACCAACTTTTTGGTATTCCATATGCACATGCCATATGTGCAATTAGAGATCTAGGTAAAAATATAAAAGATTTTCTATCTAATTGGTATCATAATGAGATATATCTGCAGTCTTATAGTAATTCTTTACAACCTATGCCTGGGAGAAACAATTAGGCCAAACCAAAGGATAAAAGAGAATGTTTTACCTCTAGAGCTTAGAAATATGCTAGGGAGGCCCAAAACCAATAGAAGAAAAGGATATGATGAGCCTAAGAAAAAGAAAGCTCAACAATTCAATTCATCTGTCCAGGAAGGACATGATAATGACATGTATACTATGTCATCAACTAGGCCATAGCAAAAGAGGCTATCATATGGTAGGCAATCAGGTAGTTTCATTTTATTTTGTTTTTATTTATTATTATAAACATTGTACTATTGTGGATCTTTTCTTGTTAAAGTGCACTAACCCATCAATTCAATTTTTATTATTTTATCCATGATAGCAAGATTATCATGTAATTAGATCTGGAGACCAGAACATGGACTAAAGTGCATCAAGTATTGTAAATCATATTAAAGCTACATATGATCCAAGCAATCATACTATTGCTTCAGCTACTGCTTATGGTGCTTTCATATCAACTTCTGCTTTTGGATCTAGATTTGGTTACACATATGCATCTGCTTCAGCTAATATTAATAGTTTTGCATCTACAATTACAACTGCAACTACTAGGAAGAGAGCAATTTCAGTAAACAACATTGGAAGTCATAATGATAAGCACATTATTGAAGCGGCCACTAGAAGCAAGACAAAAGTCTTGCAAGGTTATGGATTATATATAAATTTAGAAACAAGGAGACAAATTTTAAATGTGAGTGATTCTTTACCAAACATATATATTTTTTATTTTATTTCCTTAAATATTACCTATTATAATTTGATAAATTTTATTCAATAGCTTGGATTGAGAAGTGAAAAAGTAATAGCGGTTGAGACAAGTAGAAGCAAGATGAAGGTTGTTGAGAATGTAATTGGTACTCAAGAAAGTCAAGTTCTTGCTTCTAAAAGAAATAAAAGGAAAGAAAAAAATCTAAATAGTTGATATTATGTTTTGTTAACTGTTGTTACTAGCTGCTGATGTTAACTATATTTTTCTTGTTAATATTGTAAAAACACTTTCTATTCAACCTTCTATTGGTTGAATGTTTTCCATACTAAATGTTATGTAAGAACACTTTTTATTGACATTCATCAGATTGTTTTATTATAAAATTGTCTCTATTATCAAATTAGCTCAAATTTCTTTTTAGTTGCATATTGCAAGTTGAATATATTATACTAAATCATATTTTCACAGCTAATAACATAAAGCAACAAAATTCATAGGGTTAAATGCTCATTGATATAGAAAAAGTTTTAACAAACATTTATAGACCCTTATAACAATCTTACTAACCTACTATCAAGCATATAAGTTAAGTTTTCAGAATTTTTTTGGCATTAAAAAAGATTACACAAAACACAAGTATAAAAAAAAATGAGATAAGCCAAATTATTTTTCAGTTACCATCTTTACCATGTCCACTACCAATAATTTTATTGCTTGCTTTCAATTTCAACATAAAAAAACTAACTTTTCTTTTCAATTGCATATTCTTTGTGATAACATAAGCTTTACCAACATTTTCCTTATACTATGAAACTTCATATTTCAAACTTTGAATACGACTATATAAAAAATTTTCTCTTTTTTTTTTTAGCTCCAAAATAATCTTCTTTGCTCTTTCAGAAGTTTCACGATCATACCATAAATCAAATCCATAAACAATGCCCTACAATCACACAAAAAAAATCAGTAAATAAATTCTAGCAAAAACACCCAAGAAATACCAATAAATTTATCAACCCATAATCACACTAAAAAAATATCAAGAAATAAATACCAACAAAAACACCAAAGAAATACTAGCAAAAACACCAAAGAAATACCAATAAACTTTATCGGATAATGTGGGCATCCATAAAATCTTCTATAAGGATTGTTATTCGTCCATGAAGTCCATCTAGCTACCTTCATATTACAGTAACAAAAAATAAGTTCTCCTTTAAAGTCTCATTCCATAGAGTAACTAGTTAAAATTAACTTATACATGTTTATATTATAAGACACTCCTCTAGAAACCCTACAATTTTAATATTTTGAAAAACAAATTAAAAAAAAATCAGAGCATTAGAAAAATCCAAAATTTATATCGACCTTGATTTATACTGCTAGATAAACCAATTTTTAAAAAGACATTATGTTTAAATGTTATTTCAACAAAAAATTTTTCCTCATTTTATGATAAAAAACGAGAAGAAATAAGGAAAAAATCTTAAACTTAAGCTATTTCATAAACAGAAATGATGATGAAGAAAGCCAAAAAAACAAGATAAGCTTAAAAAATAGTTAGAATAAGCAGAAGCTATCGTTACATATGGATAAATTAATTCAACGTCATATTTGACATCATGTTTTGTTTATGATGACTTTTACACACGAATAATTTAACAGCGCGTAAAATATACATATTTTTTTTCGTTGAAATAAATTTTATATTGTTAAAATTCGATAATATTTGATCTTTATTTATACGAATTAAATAATCACTTAAATATTTAATCATGATTTAAATATTTAATTGATATTTATTAGATATAAAATAATATTATTTTAACATAAAAAAATAACATCCCATCTTGCTCCATAAAATAATAATTGAGGAAAGATGAAAAGAACAGATCACGTGACTCTTTCTCTTCATTTCTGACCTTAGAATCTTATTGATTTTCTTTTTCCTTTCCTTATCTCATATTTTTTTGCTTTAAGCTTTTTCTTCTTTTGTTTTTTTTTCTTAATTCTAATTTCTCTTTATTCTTCTATTTTAGTTTTCTTTTTGGCAGTTTTAGTTCACTTTCTTTTTTCATAAGAGTTGTTTCTAGGCGATGAAAAAGATTGGGCATGGACAAACAAAGACGAAGAGACTTTTTAGATAACAGTGTTAATAATTTTTTTTTTAACTTTGTTTTTTGCAAATTATTTACCACGCCAGAAAAAACCAGCATGTCAATGAGTTAATAGTTCTTTATTTCATCCATTAAAGGGCTTTGATAGTGGGTAATAATAGTTTAAGGGTTTATTTTAATGTGACTAAAGGATATTTTTAAATATTATGGTTTTTTTTATTAGTGAAATATCTTTAAATATTATGGGTCTTTTTTTCTTATTTTAGTCTTTAATATATTGAGTTAGATTAAAAATTCTTTTCAAACAAAAATTTTACATTTGATTAAGACAGTGAAAACCGGTTCATGCAGATATTTTTCTTTCCTTTTTTTTTTTTTTAATTGTTTTCAATAGCGAATCAGTTCTCTCTCTGTGGTTGTACCCTTTGAACCTTAAAATAGTTGTAAATCAAAAACGGAACGCAAAGTCAAACTCAAATACATCGAAGCCACGTGTCTAACAGAAGCCGTAACACAACCCAACACCACAACACCAGTTCTCTCTATGTCGTTGTATCGTCTTCTCTTCCATTATATACATCCGCAGTCTCCGTGTTTCTTCATTTTCTGAAACCAAACCAAAAGTCTTGACCTCCATTAACATCCTCCATCATTTCAGTTTTTAACTCATAACCCTCAAACCCAACCTTCTTTCCATTGAAACATCCAAATTTTAATCACCCCATTAAATACTATATCCTTTTTTTTTTTTTCTTGAATCCTTTGGCTATTTCATAACAACCGTATTTACTGGTTTCTTGTTTTGTTCGCCTTTGATTCATCTCTTGTTCTTTTCTCGGACGTCCTAACTTCAACTACTAGGGATTTGTACCTCACTTCTCTCCTCTATTACTGCTTTTGTTTATGTTGTTTCTCGTCTGTTAATCCGGGCTTTTACTTTTGTTGTGACGTTCAGTTATGCATGCTATGCTTATTATATTAGTGCAAAAAGAAACTGGAAAAGCTTATACTTTTTATTTTTTATTTTTTGTAAAGATTTAATATTTTTAGGAATTATCATATGAAACCCAGTTGGATTAAAGCTGGGATTATTTTAATTTTTTATGTAACTTTTTATTTATTTATTTATTTTTGGTTTGTTCTATTAGTGGAGGACACATCTTCAAAACTATTGAAAAGGATGTTGATTAATGGGTTTGAAGATTGTTCCCAATTAAATTTGAAAAGTTTATTGTTGAATACAATGAAATTACTGGGATCCACATCCACTTGAATATGAATAGCTGATTATCAGAAAAGAATCGTAGGTTCATAGTTTGTTTTGTCTTATTTGACTTTCTATCATGTTCTCTCCCTCACTCTGCCATAACCACTTCATTTATTGAATGGGTGAATAACCTTGTAGTCCCAAATGTGATTGGTCCTTGCTAATCCTTTTGGTTCGAACAAATTGACTAAGCTTGCATATGTCAGTTTCAGCATCAGTTTCATTTTCATGGGACCCAATTATACCTTTCCTAAATATTGTTATGTTCTCAGTTCTGTTCCTTGTGGCTCTGCTCCAGTGTTAAGTCATATTGCAGCAACATCATCCCAAACTCCCTTCATTTTAATTTTGGAATTTTGGAATTTTTTAGATGGTTGAGTTTGGTAATTGGGGATTTGAACTCGAGACAATACCTCTTTTTAAGAGATAACATGTAGCTATCATTAGGTGTTGGCCTTCACAATATCTTGTTTGTAATTATTAATTTAAAAAAGAAACATGTTTCAGATGCTTATTTATAGGAACCACTCTATTTTAGTGTAGAAAATCTTGAAATAAGATCAGTGTTGGGTGATGTTTATGTTTTAAAGTGCAAGGGAGTCATATGAATGATTTTATCTTGAAAAATTTATTTCTCCCTATTCGATATTTGAGTGTTTGGGAAACAGTCTGAGTAGGTCCCGTTTGCTGACCTTTCAAGTTACCATTTGATGATTTTATTTACATAATTTTCATTTTTTTTGCTTCTCTTTCAAAATATACGTTTGAACGCTGACAAATGCAGTTGTTATATGTTTTTGCCTTTCAGATTGACATTTTGTTATGAGAACTTATGTAAGAGGAATCACTTATCATACGTATGGACTTTTGTTTAACAAAATTCTTGACAATCTTTTACTGACGCTGTGAATATGATTAACGCAACCATCACCATCATCAAGAGCTGTACCACTATTATTTCATTTTTTCTTGGTTTATGAATAAACATTACAAGTTTGCTTTTGCTTCTTTTGAAGCTTTACCAATAAGAATGAAATCTGATATTTCTGACAGGAGGGTTATGGATCACGGTACTAATAACTCTGAACCTACACAAACTGGACCATTTAGTAGGACAAGCAGCAGTGGCCCTTCATTAAGGAAGCGATCTTTCAGTATATCAAGAGTCATGTCCTTTCAAACTGACGATGATGTTCATAGTGAGTCTGTTTCAGAGGCAGGAGATATTGGTGATCGGGCTCTTCAAAGCAATAGGCACAGTGTGACTAGTAGTTTCCGCTCGTCTGTTGATCATGCAATGGAAAGTGGGGCAGTTGTTCATCCATCCGAATTAAATGAAATCTCTCTCGTGTCACCCGTGCTAGAGGATGCTGTATCTCCCCTTCCATTTGATCCACTGAAGTGCTCTGGGGACCAAAAACAAGTGAACTTTCAATTGTTTCTGCTTGGTTTGATTGTTAATGATAATATGCATATCAAACTTCAATGAGGCTTTGATAATGCAAGTAAATTATGTGCTTCATGCTTCCTTGTGCAGGAAAAACAAGGACTACCTCTGTCATTGGAGTATATATCATGTCTTATCCACTTGGCTGTTTTTGGAATTCTGGGGGTAATATACTCAACCTTCTATTGTTGAGTTAGTTGGCTTGGTGACAGGAAATTATTATGTTCATATGTTGGACAACATTCTTGTATATTTTCTATTCTTTTCTTATTTATTGAATAGAAGGAAATCTGCTATTTAATTTTTACTTGCAATTGTTGATTCTTTCTTGAAGTGCAGCATTTTGTAGCCTATGATAATATATTCATTTGGTCACTCGGCATTAGCTACCAGATCTTTGGTGAAATTTACAGCTTTCTGCATTGATTGGTTTAGTATTGTGATCATCAAGATTCTGATATTTGATTGGCATCCATGTCAGCAAATGGTTGCATCGCTATACTGTAAATATTGGTCACTTCTGTTAATGTCAGCAATATACCCAGCAAAACTGAATACGGTTATTCGGTTGGATTGTGCTCTTCCTTTCGATTTTTTTTTCTTTTCTTTTTGTTTATGATTAGTGAAAAGAGATGTTAAGCTGCAAAGTTTTATTGGTAAATCAACAGTCTTCATTGTAGCTTTGTGATCGGGAGTAGCCTTGCAGGGTTCTTCTTTTAGCAATTTTTGGTGTCAACATTACTTATATGCATACATAATGCTTGGTTTTCATTAATGGAGGCACTAAGAGTTAACAAAATGGCCAAATGGGAAAATAATAGCAGCTATTGCTTTATTGTACTAGTGAGAATTAGCATTTGAGGTTTTAGTCCTTTGTTTGGCCTGCAAAGAGCCACGTCATTCTTTGATTCCAATTTCCTGGTATTGTAATCTCAATTTTTTAGAAGTAAACACATTTTTTTATTTGCAAATTCTAACTTTTGAGTTACAAAACACAAGGAAGAATACATTTTATTGGCAAAACTTTGACTTTTGATAGTTTTGCAGGTTTTGACAAGATATTTGCTAGAAAGGCTTTTTGGACCTAGCATTACGGGTGTGACCAGCAACCAGACCATAGTGTACCCCAATCTTCCTTCTAATATGGTATCTCTCTCTTTGTCTCTCTCTTACTCTCTCTCTCTCTCTGTCGCACACACACACACACTGTTTGTAGTGAGTGACAATTTATAGGTATAGGATGCATACACCGACACTGGCTCAGCCATGCATATGCACAAACATTCATTAGTGAGCGCTTATACACATTGGCAAAGGCTTGGGCTCTATTGCAATGCCACAAGATTTTTTTACTTGGTTTATCTAATGCTAATTGAGCATTTTGTGCTCTGTAATTTTGGCAATGATATACTGCTGATATGTTAGACTCTGAGCTACCCTTATGATTGCTGCTGTGAGGCTCATGCACCGGACATGCCGCTCAAAGCACTTAATCTCAATCCATAGATTTTGGATATTTAGTTAGACCAAGGTGGAGTTATCAAAATTGATTTAAAGGCAATCCAAGGCAGTTGTGGTGGTGGACAACTGTTTCCAGCCTTAGGTTAGGAAAAGCTATTTTCGAGATAGATTGGATGCCTGGGATTTGGTTTTTGCACTCCCAAATAGACTTTCATTTGCTTGGATTGCTCTTTGTTTCACCTCCAATGAATATCTTCCAAGTCTTTTTTCTCTTGAAAATTTACTGACATATTCTTACAGGTTGGTTCTTTCTTGATGGGGTGGTGGGGTGTTGTTTTCAAAGGAGACATATCTCAGGTATCTGATATATTGGCAATTGGATTGACCACTGGCTATTTGGGAAGTGTCACGACTTTCAGTGGCTGGAATCAGAAAATGCTTGATCTTAGTTTAAATGGCCACTGGGTGCAAGCTGTACTTGGGTTTCTGATAGGTAATGTGCTACATTCCTGCTTATGAGTAGCAAGTGTTTATTGTTTGCCTTCTCAAAACTAATGAAAAAAAAGGTCTTGTCTTGTCTCGAACCATTCATAAAAATTGAACTTTTTTTGCAGGCTTGTTTCTTGCAGCTTATTCCCTCATTTTTGGGATTGAGACAGCCAAGGGTTTCAGGTGGATTCTCAAAAGGCTAAACACAAGCACAAAAAAGGAAGTTCCTAGCACTTGTTGTAATTGGAGGCTCAACAGCGTCAGATGTCATTTGGCTGCAGTGGTGGTATTATTGTTAATTCTAGGTGTTTTATTGAGTGTGAGTGGAGCACTGCTGGAGGAGGAATTTAGCAGTGGTAGCAGTGGAGCTCAGCTGTGGCTGGCTTGTTTAGTTGCACCTTTGGGAGTGTGGATCAGGTGGTTCTTGGCTCGACTTAATGGACGTGGGTTAGGAAAGTCTGGGATTCTGAGATGGCTTCCATTTGGTACTTTGATTGCCAATATTTCTGCTGCTTGTATAATGGCAGCACTCTCCATAGCGGAAAAGCCGGTAAGAGTTCATTGAATGGTTTCTGTCCTTACTTTTTTACTCCCAATTTGCACCCTCGCTCTTTTGCATCTGTATGTATGCACATCAGCATAGGCTTCCATATTAATGGCATATGAATGGCTCTCTCATTATCTGAATCATGAAATATTCTTATGCTGGCTCAAAGCAAATCCTCATCTGCCAACTAATTATGCAGCTGTGCTGTCAACCTTACTATAGTATCTTTCTTCTTCTTTTGCTGCTTTTTCGGGAAAATGTGAGTTTGAAATATAGTAACAATTGTTTTCTTATGGGTAATTATTTTATGAACATGAAATTTATTAATTGTTACTCCATAAATTTTAATGAGGTCAGAGCGGTGTGGTGCAGGTAAATACTAAGAACTTCAACACCGTGGCAACAGGGATACAGTTAGGATTTCTGGGTTGTCTGAGCACAGTTTCTACTTTCATTGCTGAGTTCAATGCAATGAGAGAGAGCAAGTACCCTTGGAGAGCTTATGTTTATGCCTTTATTACCATGGGATTGTCATTTGTTTTAGGGATTCTGATATACGATGTACCTGCTTGGACAAAAGGATACACATAGAATTTTAGGCCATCTGTCGGTGCTTCTCTCTCTACGGGTTGTGTAAACTTAAAAGATTTGGATGTCAAATTTGATTCTAAGAGAACTTTATTTTGCTCCTAAAATGAACATTTGCCATGACAAGTCCTGGCTGTACGTTACTACTCTCTTCAACCTAGTACCATACTCAATTTGTCCTAGAGAACAAGGTGTGCATCAGTTTTCTTTGTTTCTAACTCACTACGTAATTAGTACTACTAGAGAACGTGTAACGTAAAGCTCCATCGCTGCTTTGAAGGCTGAAGCTCAGGCATTTTGCAATGCCAGCAATACTAATAGGCGACAGAAATAACTGTTCCAGAAATATAAATACCAACGTGTCAAATTGGGATGGGCGACAAATATAATTGTTTTAAAAATATGGATGACTAGATCAGATCGAAATAAAATTTTGTTTACTTTGAACTTAATTTGATTATATATATATATATATAATACTTAAATTCAATTAAAATTAATTTTTTAATTTTTTTTATATTTGAATTCGATTTAATATTATATAAAATCGTATTTAATTTAATTTAATTTAAAATTAATAAAATATATTTTTTAATATAAATATAAAATTAATTAATTAAAAAATAATATATATAGTCGAATAAAATTGAGTTTGTAAAAAATCTGATCTCGATGTTTTTTATATCACCTCATTTAAGTTGATTTGATATGTGATTTTCAAAAAAAAAATTTAAATCAAATTAAGTAAAAACGCGTTGAATACGAATGAAACTCTATCCAGGAGTGCTAAACAATGTTTGCTGATGCCTGATATCGAGATCGGCACAAGTAACAAGTCAATGTTTTGATAGCTTGTTCAGCAGGTTATTTTGGGGTTTCCGATGGCTTCTTGGTTACCGTGTTTTGTTTATTGATTGTTTCTTTTTCTTTTTCTTTTTTTTTTAATGTTCAAATTTCCAGGGTTTGATCAAAAAAATACATTTTTTACTTATAAGAAGATAGTACTGTAATTTCTCCAGATATAGAATGAAACTCCAGCAGACAGAATACTGAATACAGACACATTTTCATCGATACTGCAATTATTTCACTGCAATATTGCCTTGCAAGCTGATTATGTTCCATTTTTTGCTTTGAAAAACGTGCTTACTGGGGGATCTTATTGAGCTTGCAGTAACAATATTGACTGTACTTTTTGGCTTTGAATTTGGGTGGATTTGCGTCATTGATGAGCTTAGGGTGAGGCCCTACTTCTAAGTCTGATGGTGGTTCCAAGAACAATGGCCATGAAATTCTTGTCTGCTCTTTATTCACTATGCTTCTGTGAAGCACGCTCTTGTACTTCCCATTGCTCACAATCTGCAAAAAAAAAATTGTGGGAATAATTTTCCAGATTTTCCTAAGAATAATATATCGTTTCCTTAAGTCACATGATATATATTTTTTTATAATTGAAACTATCAATCCTTGGAACTAGGGGTGTAAATGATACATTAGTACTCGCAAGCTACTCGGATTCGTTTCGAAAAAAATTCGAATTCAGTTCTATTATTGTCGAGTCGAATTCGAGCTCGAATAGCTCGATTTATCGATCGAGTCAAATTCGAGTATTCTTATATCTGACTCGAGTAGCTCGCGAGCCTAATCGAGCTTTTATATTTAAATATATATATTTTTAATTAATAAAATATTTCGAATCCGAATTCGAGTTCGAGTATAAATAATCGAACTCTTGTCGAGTATGAATAATCGAACTCTTGTCGAGTATACGAATCGAGCTTATTTTTACATATTAATCGAGCTTAATCGAGCGAGCTCGAGTAGCTCGAATTCGATCACGAATCGAGTTCGAACTTGAAAAATAAAATTCGATCGAGCTCGAGCCGAGTATCGAGCCCCGAGTTGTGAGTCGAGCTCGAACTCGAGCTTCTTACTACTCGGCTTGACTCGGCTCGTTTACAGCCCTACTCGGAACTAAGAATATTTCGTTTTCACTAGACATTAATCTTTGTAAAAATTTAAAAATTTTAAGATTAAAAATACTAATAAAGTCAAGATTTTTTTAATATTCATAAGAAATCGCTGGCCATTTTTATTTGATAAAGTATAAAAATGATTAGCAAGAAAATAAATTTATATTATATAGGTTTCCTAAAATATATTATAATAATTTATAATTAATATTCTAACTTGGACATCTCATTTAAATTATGAAAATGGAAGGTATGATATTATTTATTAGATAAAAAAATTTATATAGCGTAAGATTTTATGATCTCCGTATAAAATTTTTTTTTAATCTGAAATAAATAACAAAATAATTCCCTTTGTTAGTAATAAAAATAAGAAAAATAAATTTAAAATATTAAGAAAGTTGATTTTTCTGGTTTGTAGATATTTCAATTGAATAAATCTAATTTTTAATAATAAATCATTTCAATTTGAATTTTATGATTGTGATTAAATCACATCAACATTTTGGGTAACTTTTATTTGAATCGAAATTCTGGGATTAGAATTAAAAAAAAAATCCTTTAATATATATTATTATGAACTGAAATTAAAGTGGAAAATAAATGGACATACCTCGACTTGATCACCAATGTGAATAATGAGAGCATTAGGGATGTACTTCACGTCATACCAACGGTCATCTCTACAAGCTTGGAGGCCCTGCACATCATTGGGCACCAGTATGGTGAGGGAGCTCATGTCGGTGTGAGCCGGCACGCCGAGAGCTAGGTCAGGCCGAGGACACGGCGGATAGTAATTGATTTTGAGAAGGTACACCAAATTCTCGCCACCCAGAGTCTCCTTCATCTCATGCCCTTCTAGCCCTAACCCTAATGACAGGCATCTGAATAGCTTGTCTACCACCCCATGCATGTGCTTTGTATATTCCTCGTTTGCCTCCCTGCCATTATTAAGAGGAAACGCAAATGCAAAAATCCCATAAATGATTAATTTGATCGGTGTATATATTATATACAGTCCGAGGTGTTTGTAGATATTTATTAAATTTAATTAAAATTTTATATTAAAAATATTTTTCATTAATGAATTATTGTCACCAAACAATGAATTAATCATATAGTTTTTTTTTTATAAATAGAAGCATGATTTTCACTCTCCCTATGAATTAATAAATGCAATGACTTATTGATTATTGTATGTTTTACAATCTTGTACATATAACTTTGATGGCAAGAAAAAAAAATTTTGTGGAGTTTTTAAAATCTTAATTAAAAATTCTCTTTTTTAAGAAAAGAAAAAAATAAAAAACAATGAAAAGAAAAATCATGAGGATTGCATGTCGTTTTCTACATACATGAATGTCTCTTCCACCGCCATTAATATATAGCAAAAGAATTTGACCCCAATGTTCTTTTACTATTATCCCATCAACTAAGAACAAAATAAAGGAAATTAGTTGGCAAAACTCTTTTTTTATTATTATTATTATTAGTGCTGAATATTACTACAAATCATAGAATCTGTTTGAATAATAGAAAATAATGAGAAAAATTGTTATTAGATATAAAAATTATTTTTTCACATCACTTTTTAGTAAATAAATTTGAATAAATATATCAAAATTTGTAAATCAAATAAAATATTATATTTTTCTTTACATCTTTTATCGTTATTTTTTATACAATAAAAGCAGAATTTGTGATTAAGAAAAAGAGTTACAAGTAATGGGAATTAAATTCAAATTTATTAATTAAATATCATTTTTTAAGGATAATCACATTAATTAATTGAAATAATTTTTTTTTTATAGATTTCATTGTTTTTCCTTAGTCTTTTGGAGAAGCCAATAGGGTTAAATATTTTTATATTTTGCTATTTATTTTTTATTAACAAAACAAAAACATCTATGAAATGGAAAGTTAAATAAATGCTTGAAATAAATGGGAAAGTAAATGCAAGAGAAAGGTTGGACACAAATTAAATAAAAGAAAATTTGAATAAATCTTTATATATAATATATTATTACATATGCGAAGGGAAATGCGGATTTCAAACCTGTAAGAAGGTGGGGTTTTTGGCCAAAATTGATAGTTGATTTCAGAAGGAGGCCAAATCTTATGGAAGAGATGATCAACCCAAGCCTTCTTCCCTTGTATTTCTTTTTGAAGCTTTGTTCCGTAGCCTTCAATGCTTTGAGACCCAGCAGGCTTGGCATAAACTTCCTTTTCTTCTTGTGGGAGCTCGAAGAAAACCTTGCCAACCTCTTGCAGCCTCCTTATGGTATCCTCAGGAATCCCATGGTTCACAACCTGGAACATCCCCCAGTTACGGCTCGCATTCACAACGTCTTGTATCACTTTTTCTTCATCAGGGTCGCTGAGATCGATGATCGGGACCTCAAGCACGGTCCCCTGAACGGTTGTCAGCCCTGGTTGCTCATTTGTTGTCCTGATGAACTCTTCAGGGATTGTTTCTTTGGACAAATTAGCAATTTCTTGCACTCTCTCCGGCTCCATTTCTTTCCTGCCCTCCAACCCTAGTTTCAATTTTCTTATGGCTAATTGAGCTGTTTCGCAATCTGCATCCTTCCCTATTTATATATAATTCTACAGGAGCTGAGAAAGAAAACCTATATTTTGTTATGTCATAAATAGATTCAGTCTAAAACAGGGTTTATATCTATTTTAATCAATCATTTTTAGTGTTCTTTCCGCACAAAACGTGACCCCCGCCCAAAGATTGCCCTTCAATTTGTTAAGGAGTGTAATTTAAAGGCGATTAGGATTTAATTAGATTTTTTTTCATAAAAAAAAACATTTAATTATATCTCATAAGTTCAAACGGAAAACATAAATTCATGTAATTAACTACATCTAATGCGTTTTACAAGCTATTTATATCTAACAACTTAATTAGTATATATATACTCAAAAATTAATTTTTAGTTGAGTAGAGGGGCAGAGTTTATTCATTGGGAATTTGTTATTGTTTTATAAGGAGAGTTTAATTTCATAGAGAAAAAAATTATAATTATTGAGATTTGAATTTTATATTTGTTATATATTATTTCTTAAAAATAATTGTACGTATCAATTGAATTAGACATCGAGTTTTTTAATTATATATTTTATGCAAATTAAATTTAATGAGTTTTGAGTTTTACACATAAAAGAAATTTTTTAATTTGAAGAATAGATATCAAAATTGATAACTATTAGATACTTAATATTATAGTATATAGATTAATTTGGTTATTTTCCATTACTTTTTTAATATACCAATCATTAACCTTTTCAATTAAGAATTTTATAATTCTTGAGTGAATTTTATACATATAAATAATAATTACCAATGTATTAAGAGGTCATTGACGGGAAAATATAGGGAGTTGGACCGATGGTAAATTAATACACAAAAATTTATTAATGCTTGAAACTTTAGATGTGTTGAGAATTTAGAAAGAACGTGTACGTTTCCTTTACACAAAATCTTAATGTATAGATAATGAAATTCCATTGATAAAGAATCAATTTCGATACTAATGGAGGATCCCATTGGTGTGCATCCTGAGTCCTGATCTTACGAATGTACCAAATATGGAAAATATTAGTTGGACGCTTTAATAATTTATTAGCCGTAAATGCTTAATGAGATCTCCTCGTTGACAGTGAAAAACCAAATTTTAATTGCAATGAAATCTTTAGAAGAAATCATTGTAATTTAAGAGGAATTAACCAAAGGACATTAATTCAAACCTAACTCATCTTGCAAGATTTTATTTGAGTTAATTATATTTTTTACACTTAAATTTTAGAAAAATATATAAATTAGTATTTAGAGAAATAAAATACACAATTCATGTATGAACTTTCAAATAATGTATAATTTATACTTTAAACTTTTAAATTATATATTATATTAATCAAAGCTCTAATCTCAATAATCATATCAACTTATATATATATATATATATATATAACATCTGATTAATATTATTAAATTACGTATTTACTATACATATTATCAATATTTTTTTGATATAAATTTGAAAATATAAATTTTTTTACTTAAATTATAAAAATTATTTAAAATGGATCAATTATTTTGTCACTTGATATCTACGTAAAAAATTCTTTAACATTTTAATTTAATAAATAATAGGCATATAATAAAATTATATTGACTAAATATTATATAAAAGAGTTAAATTAAATTAATACATTATTTAAAATTTTAAAATGCATTTCATTTTTTTAAATTCAAGTATTAAAAACGTAATTAACTTATTTTATTTCTCCAATGTCTATAATAAACGCTCACATTTTTTTTGTGGATCCCGAGCCTGTGTACTATTTTTTATTTTTGGCTACGTACTATGTCACCTATTAAAAACTGTTTGGGTTTCTTTTTTTTTTTTTTGTATTTGTAAATGAAGGATCTGGATATAACAGAATGGATGATCCGATCTTCAAATTTATTAAATATTATTTTTTAAAATAATGACCCAATTAAATCAACTGAGCGAAGCTTTTATTTCTCCCTATTACCAATGCCAGATCGAAAGAGAAAGGTTTCATAAAATCCTTTCCCTGTTCCATTACAACTGGTACACATGGAATAACACGCAGATCACTAATTAACTGTCAAAAATAGCCTGCTACTGACCCTAACTACTTCATTTATGGCCTCGTACAAGTAATTCCAGATCTACATTGATAACTCTCTATTCTAACTCAGAATGCAGCTAACTAACTCCAGCTGAACATCTTCCTCCGTATTTCCCTCCGACTGCAACAGTAAACTGAAAATTAAAATTTGGAAATGAATATTCATAATAAATTTGCATGGAAGGTTCTGTGAAATTTTAATGCGCACGGATGCTGCAGTGCGTTAGATTCAGGACCATCATGTGAATAACTCACCCAGGGGGTTGGTTGGTTTTGGGGTCAGAGACCACAGAGGGTGCCGTGGCAGGCAGGGAAGGCAAGAAATCCATAGCTGACGGGTTTTGTCCCGCCTGGATCCCTTCCGGACAGGTTTTTTCCTTGAAAATGGAGTCAGAAAGCCTTAGTGCTTTCTCTGCTGGTTTTTTTTTTTTTTTAGGTTTTTCTACAACCATTTGTTTTTTTTTTTTTTTATTCATCTAGATGGTTATAAATTAAGTACTTAATGTTTTCATTTTCCTAAAATTTATTCTGATTTTTTTTATATTTTTGAAAAATTTTCTGCTTTTTGTTTATTTTTTATATGCTCATTTTGCTTTTATTTTATGCTTAAAATGCTGGCCTTCAATTTTTTTTCCTTTTTTATCTCACACTTTTTGGTTTCTTCACGTATAAACTGTACCTTTAATTAATACAATAAACAATACATTAAATATATAAAAAAAATAATTAACGTGTCCCCTTGCAAGCTCTAACTTTGCCCTAGCGACACGAAAGGGAAACTAATGGTATTGAAAGCAACACGTGAAAGCTGAAAAGCTATGAGAAAATATTATTTGTAATTATTAAATGATAATAATTAATTATAATTTAAAGTTATATAAAATTCACGTTTATAAATAATAAAGATTTACATAATTTTTTACTATAATTAAATAATTATAATAAAAAAATTACAGGTAAACTTCAGTGATGAATTCATATGAAAAAGATAAAATATTTGTAAACATTTCAAATATTTAAAAAATCTTTAAAAAATTTTATTAAATATATATTTTTATTGATAAAATTAATAAATTCATCAATATATATATATATATATATATATATCAATACACACACACACGTAAGGCCCACGAAAAAAATTTTAAAATCAGCCACGGATGAAGTTGAAACTAGTGGTCTTAGGGGCAACACCAAGGTTGGGAAGCATGAAAGTATTATTGGGAGATGTGGGCTATTCCTGCAGGTTGGTTTGACGAAAGTTGAGCTGTTAGTAAGTACCTATAAGCATCCAACTAGAATTTTCAATTAACTTTCCAAAAAGTTATGTTGTTGATTGTTGTGTTCACATTAAATTTTGAATGATGGCAATGAATATCTTAATATACCCTTACAATATATTAAAAATTAGATTATGATTTATGATATACGAAATAATTTTATTTATTTTATGTGTATATATAAATTAGTATTTTATTTAAAATTATATTTAAATTTCAAAATTTATAATATATATAAAATTTTATATATGATTAACTTTCATAAAAAAATAATTTTTTTAAAAAGAAAAAAATGATATATCTTCACTTTGCACAAATGTTATTTGCAATAATATTATACACATAAAATTTATATCAAATAAAAATAAATTACATATCTTTCTTAAAAGAACAAATATATAATAAAATGATAAATTAAATAATAAAAAAAGTATAAGCATACTTTTACTTTTATAATTTTGTTCAAATTGCTGTACAAAATATGAAAAATGTTAGAAGATGTGTGAAAAAATTGAAAACAAAATTAATTTTCATAAGAACAAAATTGTAATAGTAATAATATATATTTTGGAAAAAGAAAGATGTAAAACAAAAAAATAAATTGCAATAGTAATAAAATTCTAAAAAGCTAGAAATAAAAAATAATAAAAAATGATATAACACATTGCATTTGTAATCTTTAATTTGTAGAATAACTCAGAGATGGCATTTAGAATTGAATAGATAATTTTCAAATTGATATTTTAAAAAAATTAAAAAGATATAATAAATGATAAAAAATTAAATCAAATTTTTTATTTTTTTAAAATATAAAGTTGATAGTTAGAGTTGAGAGTGATATAAGTTTTATTATTTAGAGATTTAATATGAAAAAAATTATTTGAACTTTTAATATTTTACTTAAATTTTTTAAAAGATAATTTTTGTTTGATACAAATAAGATAAAAAAATACAATGAGTTTTTGAAAAATAGGATAAACTTAATATTTATAATTTTAAACATTTTGAAAGATTTTTATGATTAAACAATTTATAAAATAAGGTTATCTTGTAAATAAATTTTTTAAAAATATATCTCTAGATTAATTTGATTGTAATTATAATTTAAATAATTATGATATTTGAATAAATTTAAAATTATCTAATTTATAAATAAAAAAAGTTATACTTTTAAAAAAAATTATCCTACATGTCATCTACAGAAGTTGTCCACGTAAATGTTTACATAGTAAACCTTATCAGATATTTATGTATATTGTAATCTAATAATATATAGATTATCAAATTAATTATTAGTTACTATATTCAATATTTTTTGACATTATATTTGTTTTTATTAATTTTTTGAGTCAATTGAATTTAATTTTTATCATTATTTTTTACAAAAAATTTTAAAACTAAAAAATTTTAAAACATAAGATAAGTAAAGTTTGAATTTCAAAATTTTTAATTTTAATAAAATATTTTAAAAAATAATGATGAAAGTCAAGTGAAACATGAACAGGGCAATTTTTCTAGGAATCAGACTTAGCTAGTAGATCCATGGGCCTTACTCAAGTTGAGATTGGAGTCTGACTCTAAAAGCTCTATCCATCTGATTGGAAAGTTCCATCCACCGCTCTTTGAAAATTACAATATTAATCAAAAACCTAAAAATGCTGCAGCGGACTACCTCACCTCCCTCAACGCAAACGAATCGAACATCTTCAAAGACCTCCTGTTGATTTCATATTATTGGTGTTGATTATCCTAGATTTGTCTAATTTCCTTTTTGTTTAATCCAATGATTAAATTATAAAATAAGAAATTGATTATGAATTTTAACAATTTGATTAACAAATTTTTTATCCTTAATTTTTTTCTTCCCTTTTATAAAGCAAAGCCTATATTTTTCATCCTTTTTATCATGCGAAGCCTAAATTTGTGTCCCGTATCACATTAAAAAAACTTGTGGCTGCGATTTGTCCCTCGTTCATTCAAGGAGCATGCATTTGTATATTCCTAACAATTTGAACCTAAAATAATTTGACATCCCAAATAAATCTCTTCAAAACAGAGTTTGGCTATGGAGAATCCAACCACGAACCATGTTTATTGAGAGAATCAAACGACCAGTTGTAGAAAGACCACTATCAGCCCAACCTTTAGCAACATATATTGCTCAAAGATCATCAAGGATAAATGTTTGAGAGTACACAAAAGCATCGTTGGTTTATTGAGGTTTGAATCTCTATGTTTCAAAGGCAATCTATTGACATTAACAACTGAGGAAATTCTTACACAACATAAAAGGACTTTAGATACGACAGTGTATGCATAGTAAATTTCCACAACTAGCCACCACAGCAAGAGCCGCAGGCTGGAAGGGAACCTGAAATATAGCACCATCAAAATATCTATATTTTAGCAGACAAATTAAACGGGAAAAAGAGAAAGAAAGAGGTGCATGCTCTGGCGACAAACAACAAATAACTCTTAAGTTTCCTAACATAATAATAATAAAAGGCAAAGCACATACTATGATCAATTCCTCGAACATTGTCTAGTCCGCATGGTGGTCGGCGTGGGCCACCACCACCATATGGTCCACTTCCAGGTCCTCCTGGACCACCATCCCATTTCTTGCTTGAACCAGAGCTTTTTCTGTAGGCATCCGACTTTTCCATCTGTTGCACATCAAACATTCAAGTTTCCAATGGATTGATGCAGATTAACGGGAAAAAAAAAAAGGAATCCTAGCATTGACCACTGACATAGGAAATTGAAAATCTTACCGAGAACATGGTTGAAAAAAACACTCCTATGAAATTGATAATTGCCCAGAAAAAATCAGTGATTGTTCTCAGTCGCCATATTGACCGCTTTGATTTCACAACACCTGAATAACCACACATGAACAAATGTTTTACACAATATTAAGAGAGGGGAAGTCTCCATGGTACTTGCAATATGCTAAAGTGATGAAACAAGACAATTTTGTCAGCACAAAGGCAATACGTTGCAGCTTATCTTCAAATAACTATTACAGCAGAAAATACTAAGCAATGATTGTTGGCCACAAACTCTATGAAAAAGTTTAAGAATATCACCAACAGTGTTCACAATCAATCAAGTCAAGACAGATAATCAATACAACTATATCCTCTTTTGAATTCACAATACACACACACACACACACACTCTCAGAATGACGTGATGTGGAAGAACATAGAGAACCTCTTTTGAATTTGTAGTAGTATTAGGAACTAGGAAAGAAACATCTTCAAGATAACACAGCTTTAGCCGGTACCACCCCCGAGAGCCAATAAATCATAGAAACTGTGGAGAGGTTAGTGAAATGGGCTCTAGGAGATAAAAAGTTGAATTTTTAAAAGAAAAAAAATGGTAGAAATTTCAAAGAAAGGAATTTTTTGAAAACCAAAGAAATTTTTTGGGAACGATCTGTGCTAATTGCGACTAAAATCACCCACGAACACAGTCATGACTCATGAGTGTATCGCATTCGGTCAATAATTTGTGGTTTCTGCAACCACAATGTCAAATGGATTCCAAATTTCTAATTGAAACTGATTCTAAATGTTACCAATAAAGGAGGCTTTTTCACCAGAGTTTCCCAAGCCACAATTCTGGAACCCTACGGCAACCCCAAACTAGGACCAAGACTATCTGAAAACTCCATTTCAGCTGTTTCAGAGTCGCATAACAGTAATATCTGTCAAATTCATATGTTAAAAAGTCCAAAAATTCAAGATTGCTCCAAAAACAATTCTCATCAAATTTCATCAAATTACCGACTAAAACCTCAATTTGCTGACCTCGCAAGAAATTACGATCCACAATAATCAGATTGATTACATAAATATGAAAATTCATTTCTTTTCTTTTCCCATAACTAATTAGGGTTCCCCACAATATTAAATTTAAAAACTAAAAAAAAAGTAATAATTGGCAAAAGATTTCGAGTCAAATTAAAAGATCTCATAACAGAAATAATAAATTAAAAGATTATTAAAAATAAAAGGAAAATTGAGAAAAAAAAGAGAGAGAAAGAAAGGATCCGGACCTCGCTCGACGTAAGCCATGAGAAAAATTCCAGTGTCTTCTTTACCAAAAAGAGGGAGAGCAAATAGCTACCACTGCGCTGTTTTAATCGGCGTTTTTTTAAACGTGCCGGTGCCTCTTGACGGTTAGTTCGAGGACTTAATTTTAATTGGCTCATGGACTTTTGTACACGTGTCCTTTTCTGATTCGATACGCTTACGATAAAATTGTCCTGCCTGCCAAGTGGCAGAAATATTTTTTTTTTAATTTATAGAAGCATGTATTTTCCAAAATTTCATCAAAATTAGAGAGGGCCGGGACTGAACTGGAATTATAATTTTGCAAGGCAAATGAATAAAACATCGAGCCCGATCTGACAGGTAGAAACGCTCTACTCTCTCCCTTCTGTTTTTTTTTTTCATAAGAAGGCAAAGTCCTTAAAAGGAAAACATGATGGCGGGTTAGAACTCACACTGACGTGCGTTCGTCAAAGCCTCTAAAACATTAGGCCAAGAGCTGGAAGGCCTAAGAGGGGTTACTTGACTCTCTTTTTATTTGTTTACCTGGATTCAGGTAGTTGTGTAGAAATTTATTGGGTCTTTCGACTTTGCATTTACTTTATGCAGTGGAGCGTCTTTTGCTTTTCTTTTAACATTCTTGTGGCGACAAGGTCCTTTGACAGCTTGGCAGTCTTTAGCTTGCAATTATGATCCTGGCTCAAAAAGCAAATGAGGTTGGTGGGGAAGCACAGGAGGACATTATCGCGGATCTTGATGCACTGGAACTCAGTACAGATGGTGAAGTTAACAGACAGGTGAAGTTGCTCCTTGATACGGAAGGTTGTCACTAATAAAATCATGAAAGTGGGTGATTTAAGAGCTATTCCGTCCCAAGCTTGGCCAGTTGTTAATAACTCGGAAGTCCATGAGTTGGAAAAGAACATAACAAAAAGGAGAGAGACAAGGCACAGGTGCTGGTACAGGGTCCATAGTCAGTGATGGACAGCCATGTTATGCCCAAAGAGTGGCCGGAGGAAGCGGTCGTGGAAGAGATTGATTTTAGGATTAAATATAAAAATGTTTCATGTATTATAAATTTTTTATCAATTTAATATTTAAAAAATAAAATTTTTAGCTTAATATTTTAATTTTTATTTCATTATTCATTTTGATAATTGATATTAATACTATCAATTAATTTATTGATGTGATATAAATATTTAATAAAATTTTATATTTATTAAAAATTTCAATCAATGTCACATAAATATAAAAAATTCATAAAATTTAAAAAAATCTAAAAAATTATTTAAAATTTTAAAATATTTGAAATATTTAAAAAATTCAAAAAAATTAAAACAAAGCTCAATTGTGTCTATAGGAACCATAAAAATCCATTCCTTCCACTACTCTAAGCCTTCTTCCAATAGCTTCATCTTTTCATCGGTAGTAGTATCTTTCACTTTCTCAAGTATCTTTATCCCTAGATTTTCTCTTTCTTTGGGATCATCCAAATTAGGAACCAAGATTGACTAGGGTGATTTTTCCATCATAACAGGATTAAAAAATTTTTGAAACTGTCCTGAAACAGATGTCGATGTCATTCTTGGATAAAGATTGAAATATCCACAGAGAGTAGGAGTTTGTACTCTGGTTCCTTGTGAAGGTTGGGTTGGCCGCAGCTCGAATCCTGGAGGAATATATAGGATCCGCTATGTCTGGCGATTGCTCTTGGAGGCTAGGATTTTCTCTCATTATTTTTTCTTTATTAAGTTTCCTGAGCATAACCATTATTGTATTGAGATCCCTTCTTAGTTCTTCTTGAACTTTCTCGATTCTCTCAAATCGACTAGCCTGTTCTTGTTTCATGATTCTTGTCTGAGTCTTGGTGTTGTATGAGTGGCGAATGGGTTGAGTCGAAATTTTTTAAAAGCGAGCTATTCTTGAACCTTTGTTACCACAAAATTTTTTTAAAAAAATCAGAATGTCATCTGTCAAAAATTTTATTTTTTGAAAGAAAATAAAAATGGTACAGATGATGCATAAATGCAAATGAGAAATATTTACTCTTAGACAAATTTCAACACTAAAAATTTTCATTGATTCCATACAACTTTGATTACATGGGATTTATCATCCTAGAATTGTATCCATAAAAGTGTTTGACTTACTCATAATGGTCTTTCGTCTTGTCTAGAAAGTTTATTAGGCGTTGTTTATATTCTCCTATAGGATTGACTTCTTGTCTTAACGTTTTTACCTTTTCAACCATCTCCCATGCTTTTTTTACTACCTTATAAACTTGACTAGTTATGTGCTCTATGTACTGTTACCTTTCTAAACTTTCAATTTTTCATATCATGCGAGCATCTATTTCTGAATCACGTGTGAAGATCCAATCTTTTTTCATTCTCTGCCACTCATCTATTATTGCTGAAATATGGTTCTTGTGGACTTGTAGTTGTAGCTCTAACCCTTAGATCAACTGGTGAAACGATTCTTTCTCATTCAGTACTTCTAGGTGCTTTTTTCTCTCCTTCGTGATTATGGCCTTTAGCCTTTCATTTTCTTTTTGACACTCCATCAACCTTACTGAAGCCATATTATACAACCCTTTCCAATTCTAGCATTCTTGAGAGGTTTCTGTGACTTTCTCTTGCTTTTCTTAAGCTTTGCCCTTCCATTAGTTCATTTTTTCTCGGAGTTCATCCACTTCGCGTTATCGACTAAGGTAAGACTTAGTGACTTTTTCAGTCTTGAATTGAATTCGTAACCTCTTATTTTTCTGGTGCAGATCTTTTAAATCATTATTGGCCACATCTCGTTCTTTTATAGCTTTTTCCAATTTGTTCTTTTATATCTCTACTTTATATTTTAATTGTCTCATATTCTCGCAAAGTTTTAAATTTTCTTTTCTTATTTTTTTTGTCAGCTTTTGATTATTTTTCATAAGCTCAATTTATGATAATTGCACTTCTTCTAAAATATTAGCTGATCGATGTGAAATGTCATCAAAAGAAAGTATTATATCTCTAGGTCGCTTTGCTTTCCAAATTTGATAATCGAGGGTGACTTTATCGATGAGAGGCCCCAATCTCATTCTTTATGTTTTCTTTCATGCTTGGATCAACTGCTTCGAGGTTCTTGGTGGACTCAATTCCTTGTAAATGAATTCTACTTGGACCGGACCATGAGTGACAGGAACAAACTACTTTGCATCAAATTACCTAAACACCATTAACGGAGCATAACTTACAATGCCCCATAGCCCTAATAACGGCATCCACGACTTGTTTTTTTCACGATACAATAAAGGCACACGGGGCATCCAATGTGCCATCTATTGGATTTCATCCCCAGTAAGCCTTCACAAGAAATGACCCACTCATCTTTAGTCTTTAATGTCGACCATTGACTTTTATGAAACTCTTCGATTGGTGCCTTATTTCGAAGATACGATTTCAAAAACGCACTCTTTTCACACTTGAAATGACTTATAACCCACACATATAATAAATGTGCACGCCCTATGAATCGTCTCTTTTCATTTTGTCGACAAAAATTCAATGACCCGATGATTTCAGCTAGGATTGCTGGTGCGAGATTAATTACTTGAGTTTCAATTTACTCAAAAAAGTCTACCACAGTTATCTCAATGTAACCTAAAGTCTTCAAAAAGATCACTATGCCATACAATGTTAGAGCAAACATAGCTAAACCTTGATCATCATTCAAATGCCCTTGAATGAAATTTTAGAGAAAATCCTAATGGATGCCGAGATGTTCACCTTTAGGCTTCGTGAAAGAATCTATGGTTTTTACTTTTACCCTCATAAGCTTGGTCAACTTTTTACGATAACCTGATTTTGATTTTTGGGTAAACACTTTTTTCGGACACTATAGTTTAATTCCAAGCAAAATCGAATACTTCTCGATAGTTGGCACCAAATCCTCTTGATTAAAAATGAAGCATCTATAGGATGGATCTCAAAATTGTATAGCTACTCTAACCAACTGTTTATCAATCACTACTGAAATGAGAGATGCAATCTGCTTATACTTTTTACAAAAACTTTCTCTTCTTTATTCGCTTAACTGACCTCAAATAATGGTTAAGTCTTCTAAATCATTTTGTATGAGATCCAAGTGTACTTTTTCGGGTAACTCAAACACATAACCGATAGGCAAACAATCTCTACTCTTTTGTTGAGCTTCTTTTGATCAAACATATACTTCATTATACGGCTCACATAGGACACTGACTGAGGATGAATAAATCTGTAGTTTCATAGGTCCACGAAGACTCCTTAGGAGAAAACTGTCATAGAGCAAATATCTCGATGCAGAACTATATGGTATGATTAATGTAAAAGAGAAAAATAAAACAAAATTGAGTTAGTGTAAGGATATGGTTTAGAAAAAAAAACTCTTTTTTTTTTTAGTTTTGAGATTTTTTAGTTTTGTTTTGTTTTGTATTACACATAACTTTTTTTCTACATACTTTGGTAATCTCTAAAAAACGTGGGCAAAACTCTACCTAAGGTTGCCTTCTTACTACTTATTAAATGTTAGGTTTGGGTCGACATGCGACTAAAAGTTTTCAAATTGTTTCTTACTGTCATCCATACTGGACTAGTAAAGCACCTCGATCTTCACCCATTATAGGCTACGAACGAAAAGGGTTTAATTCAAGTGAAAGTATTTTGCTTGCCATTACGGAGGTTATCACCTCACGAAAGCATAGGTACTTTACTTCCCCTATAAGGGATGGTGCCTGGCTATAGAGCTCATGCATGAGATGCATCATATTATTGTGTGTGTATATGTTTCCTAATTTATCAACAGTAATATATACAAGAAAACTAAAGCATAAAAGACATAGTAAAAAAAATGTGTGAAATGTATGTGAATTTTTCATTTTTGATTTGTTTTGTTTTTTACCTTTTTTTTATTGAAAGTGAAAAATAAAAATCTAAGAAATCGATTAGGACTGTTTAAATTAAAATTTAAAGATAACACGTAATTAATTTTAGCCTAACTGTCGAAAACAAATGACTCCCCAGCAGAGTCGCCAAGCTATCATAATGATTTTGCGTCCGTCCGATGAATTTGAAAACAAAATAAAAAAAAAAAGTTACCACCAATCTTTTTT